TCAAAATTAATTTATTAGTTGGAAACTTAATAAAATTTCTTTTTGCAATATTCATTTATTTTTTAAACAATTTTGCAACGAAAGGAAAGCCATTTGAATTTATTGTTCGATAAGTCCAATACGCAATAAATTAAGTGAATGAATTGATGTGAAAACGATAAAAAAAAAACTAATGATAATTACATATAAATTAACTTAAATTATTGAAGATTCTTCATTTTTTAAGAGTAAACAATAAAATATTTGCAATTTAAAAAATGCATGCAAAGCATAATTAGAATATATATTTGATGAGCTCAAATAATATCGAACGGCTCTCTGAAATTATTTTATCAGCGGTTGAACATGCTGATTATCTGCAATTAAGAGAATTATCAGAAAATAAATTTTTGCCATTCCACACATTTTGCAACCTAAATATACAATAAAACATAAAAAATATCCGATAAAAAAGAAGGTATCAAAAAAGGTTTTATTTTTTCATAATCGTAGGGAAGATGGAAATATAAAATCGTTTGTTGTAAATCATTTATTAGTATTTTTGAGAAGGAAGAAAGAATAGGAAAAAAATTGACGATATAAAAAATGCAAACCGAAGGAAAAATAACTTTTCAACTTGAATATATTAATTTTGCCTCGAATTATTATTTAAAAGTATTTTAGCTCCACATCATCTCATCTTTATTTTATTTATGAGTAGTTGAAAAATATATTTGAATTTAAAAGGATATAAGTGGAATCCACAATCTAATTCGCGGAAGTTTCAAGTTTACCGTTAATATTTTTAAAAAAATTTGAAATCATTTATGATATTTGAATAAAAATATAAAATATAAATATAAAATTCTCTAAATATAAAATTATTGAATGAAACACTCCGACACTGATAAGAAAATATAAAAATTTGCATTCTATGACAAAATTTTAAATATCAATTTCTGAAATAAAAAATAATTTATAAGTAATGGAAAAGACTTTCAAGTGTCGGTATGAATCGGTTCGCAGCAGATGAGCAAATATTCTTACTAGCAAACATAGTCGAAAGGTAATTTTATCAAAGGAACTTCCAAAAAAAGGTGAAATACATAAAAAAGCATATGCGGAACGATAATATTTCATTGTAAAATATTTTTCCCGAAATGTTGTTGTATTTTTGTTTCTTCGCTTTTCTCATCCAAGGCGTAAAAAGTGGTAACGACAAGGCGATAGAAAACTGTAATATGCTAGTGGGAGGTCATCAACGACCAACTGTCGATCCAAGTCGCTGTGCACACATCGATTCACCTGCTTGTACTGCTATATTTCCATACGTTCCCCCTGATGCTGGTGCAACGATCGCAACACACTTCAATCCGTAAAAATTTGTTCTCAATCCCATTGTTCCAATCCCACCCTAATTGTGCTGTATATTACTTGAAAAATAACTCCCACAAGTTATTTACCTCACTAATATTTCATAGTTTTTTGATTATTTAGAGCCGCATCTTACCT